TGTTTCTTTGCCCTGACTTGCATCTGATCGGTAAGTTTCTTGGGTATAATCATCTTCACTTCCAGATTTACAGATTTACAGATTTGCAGATTTGAAGATTTGCGATGAAAAATAATATCAAAATTTCTGAATATGATGTATATATAGCCACCTTTTTTTTTTTTTTTTGCCATCATTATATTATATAGCCACTTATCAATCTGCACAAAGTCTTTTATGATGTTATTCTTCCGTTATTTATTTTGCTGATAAATATACATTCTTTGATCCATAGCTCCAGAAATGGCAGCTGCACTTGTTCCCTCAGCCTTGGAGCTATTAGCAAGAGTTGAAGCTGTAGCATCATTGAAAGGGGTGAGGCTGGGGAGAGATTCTAAAAATGAACTCCAAAGGCTTAGGCACAACCTTTTGGCCTTAAATGCTATCCTTGAGGATGCAGAGCAAATGACAAGGATTGACAGAGCCAGCGAACGTTGGTTAGATCAGCTTACAGATGTAGCCCATGACTTGGGGGATGTGTTGGACGAGTGGATCTCTACACACGGAGTTGGAAAAACTTCTATTCTGAAGGCTTGGGTAGGCTCCTACGTCACCCACTGTTTACATACTGCCCAAGTTGTTAGGCGTGATGATCTTGCTTTCAAATTAAAGGAATTCAATGACAGGCTAGGTGGGATTGCCACTAATCTAAATAAGTACCACTTGATATCAAGTTATGGGTTTCAACACAGCAGACAGATTGAGAGTACAGCTTTTGTTGATGTGTCAGCTATAATTGGTCGAGATGAGGTTAAGGGAGACATTGTAAGCAGTTTGTTGTCTGCATCTACTGAACAACTTAAGATAATTTCAGTTGTTGGCATGGTTGGGGTGGGAAAGACAGCTATTGCTCAACTTGTTTACCATGATGAGGTGGTTAAGCAGCATTTTGATCATAGAATATGGGTTTGTGTCTCAGAAGTATTTGACGAGAATAATGTTGCCAAAACAATAATTAAAGGAGTTGATGGTTTCATAAGTTTTGAAGGAGTGGACTCCCTTGATTCATTTCCACTTTCTGCCCTTATTGATAGAATTTGTATATCTATCCACGGAAAGAAATTTTTTCTTGTGTTGGATGATGTGTGGGCAGATGACATGCGACAGTGGGAAGGACTGATCCAGACTTTCAAACATGGTGCCCCAGGGAGTAGGATTTTGTTAACTACTCGTAAGGATACGGTGGCAAACATGATGGTGGACTCTCATGTCATTCATTTGCAACCGTTATCTGATGAACAGTGTTGGATGTTAGTCAGTCAAGAAGCATTCTCTGGAAGGGGTGTTGAAGAGTGTCAGAATTTGGAGGATATTGGGAAGAGAATTTCAAACAAGTGTAAAGGCTTGCCTCTTGCTGCAAAGACTTTAGGAGCCCTCCTAAGATGTAAGAGCAGTAGGAGAGAGTGGGAAAAGATCTTGAACCGTAAAATCTTGAAGTTAGAGATTGCACATCAAGAGCTTTTTCTTCCTCTACTTTTGAGTTATAATGATTTGCCTTTACCACTGAGACAATGTTTCAAGTATTGTGCTGTTTTCCCAAAAGATTTTGTATACGACGGAGAAACAATAATATACCACTGGATGGCACAAGGCTATTTAGGATTGAACAATGATGAAGATTTAGAATTAAAAGGAAGAGAGTACATTAGCTACTTAGCAGCTAGGTCTTTCTTCCATGATTTTCTGCTGGATACAGATGGTATAAAATCAACATGGAAGATGCATGACATTATGCATGATTTTGCACAGTTTTTGATGATCAGTGATGGAATTGTGATTGAGGTCAATCCAGAAGGCAATTCAATGATAGATTTGTCTTCCAGAAAAGCTCGTTATTTGACAGCATGTATACCAGAGGGGCATTGTCTTCCTACTTCCATTTATGGTGCTGAAAAGTTGTGTAGCCTTATGATCATTTCTGGAGAGAATGCAATAACCAATGAGGCTGTGCAAATCATTTTTAATCAAGCAAAACAGATAAGGTTGGTGGATTTTGGTTGCCACAATGCATTAGTGGATACAATTCCAAAAGAAACAGGGAATTTGATTCATTTGAGGCACATTAACTTGAGTGGAAGTAAAATGAAAGGATTGCCCAGACCTTTGTGTGAGTTACATAATCTTCAATATTTGAATTTGGACAACTGCGAATCTCTTGAGAATTTGCCAGATGAGATAGGGAATTTGATCAATTTGAGGCACATGAACTTTAGTGGAAGTAAAATAAAAGGATTGCCCGGATCTTTGTGTAAATTACATAATCTTCGATATTTGAATCTCGACAACTGCAAAGCTCTTGAGAATTTACCAAATCAGATAGGAAACTTGTTCAACTTGACATATCTAGGGACTCTTCATTGCTACAGGTTAGCTTGCTACCCCAAATCAGCTAGGAGATTAACAGATCTTAGGCAATTACGTGGGATCGTGCTCAGAGCTGATCGAAATGACCCTAATGAATTCACTCTTGGAGACCTAGAAAACTTGAACCAACTTTGTGAACTTTCCATGGTGCTGAAAGGAAATGCAGTAAATGATAGAGAGCTTAAAAGAGCCAAATTTGAAAATAAGACACATTTAAAGGAAATCAAGGTGGAGTGACAAGGTACACCTTTTTTTTATTTTTAATTTGTTTTGTTAAGGTTTTTTTATTTTTTGGTACATGGAATGATGGAATATGTACAAGAATAGATAATTCTTTCTTTTTTAAAATTTTTTTCCATTCAACCTAATGTTTGAACTTTAAACCTCCAATTGGATCGATCTCAAAATCTTAACCAATTGTCTCTAAGGGTTTTGAATCCATCTCATGGATTGTATACTTGTATTGAGATGAAATGATATTTAAGGTTGGAATGGATTTCATGTGAAGAAAAGCATTTCAAAATCCTATTTCATATTATTACCTTTTTTCATAAAAAATATTATGATATTATTACTAACTTGTCATTTTAAAATATCGCCTAAGAGGCTGTTTTCTGAAATCCCTTTTCAAATTCTCCTGCGTTCTCCCCTTCCTAAACCATACTCTCTCTTCAATTAGACAAAAGAACATAATCTAAAAAACAATTTTAAAACTCTTGCCGCATCTCAAATTTCTTACTAAAGTAGATAATTTCATCCAAACCCAACCTTAATGATGGACAAAATACTAATTAAGCTAGAAGCTAAGTGCTAACCTTTCTTTCAATCATACCCTTATTTCCATTGTTTCTTGATGATCATTATATCAATCTCCAATTCAAAGTTAACTATATTTGATATATTATGTTTGGCCAACAATATTTCATTGCTTTTTTATATATATTTATGGAAAAGACTATGTTTATGTTTGTAGAAGCATGAGGCATGATGACGGTCAAGTATGAAGTGAGAGCTAGTTCTATTGGTGAAGAGGAGTGTCGTTCTTGCTGAGATCAGAAGCTGCTGGTTAATGTCTAGCTATTAGTTTGTTGAATTGAATATAATCTTGTGTGTAGTTTTATTTTCTAAGCTATGCTATGCAACTTGTTATGTGATGATTGTGATCTTTTAGGGTTCTGAATGTTGTCTTTAGAGGAGCGTGAGTAGCTTTTTAGTTGTTTAACGTGATCAGAGGATTGAATATGTTGGGTATATATGTATTTGAATGAATGTTTCTTGGTGCTTGATGAGAAAGTACTTGTGCAGTGGATGTTCCAATATGCCTTCCTGGAGTGTTGTCTTTGGGCAGAAGATTAATCATGATGATGAGGGGTTCAGTGGCTGTCCCTAAACAGCTAACAATGGCGCCATGGTGCATTTAGGTAAATCAGGCACAAGGGCTGGGATCTCCCTTGTGGCCTTTCAGAGCTAAAAATTCCTCTATTTCTGATCCTATTTTTAGTTTATGTTTTTGTCCTTGTTTGTTGCTTTTACCTGTGTGATGGACATATCTCAAGGTGGTTTAAGGGATGTACCATCTTTGGCTGGGTGGTTGATTTTAAATTATTGCCAGAAAAAGAAAGCATTGCTTGTCTGGTGCTCTCTTGGACTGCCTTGGTCTGCAGGTTTGGCTCACTTTGTGGCAGCTTAAAGCTTGGATGTCATAGAAATTAGCAAGACTTTTCAGCAATTCCTTTGGTGCTATCTAGCTTCCTTCTGCCACATCGATCTCTGGGTAGTAGGTGTGCTAGTATTCAAGCTAATGAGCTGCTTGGATAGGAGGATGCCCTTCTTGATTCAACCAAGAGATTTGTTGTCCTCTTACTTATCCGTGTCTTTCTGCAGATTTAATTTTCTCTCCATCTCTGTTTTCTTCTGTTGAATGTTTCTTTTGGGTTCGTCTGTGACTCTGTTTTAGGGACCAATTGGTCGCTATAGCATCACCTTAGAAGCTATACTTCCAACATATCATAATAGGCAGTACCACTCAAAAACAGATGTAAACAATTAAGTATAAGAAGCTACTTTAAACTATAAGATTACTAAGGTAATCACTTTAAGCATAATAATAACATGCTACAAAGTAGAAAGGGCATCACTACTGACATTTTAAACAACAGCACCGAAGTCTATTCTGTATTTCCAGTTTCACTTTTGGGGCAAAAGGATTAGTCAAGAATCCTACCCTTGACCATGTTGTTGACAGCCAACAAGTACAAGTTTGAGCCCAATTAGCTTTATCTCTGTACCCCTCCTCTACAATATTTGGGATGAACAAGTGATTCTCGCCCCGCTACACAGGGTATTAGTGATTTAATTGGGCAACTTGATTTAAAACCAATTGCATTTTCTCTAAATGAAGCTTGAACACTAAAGAGCAATTTCTAATGTGAAGGTTTTTCTATTGGAATTTTAACCATTTAGAGCTTTTAGCAGAATAAAATGGAGGCCAGACAGATACAAACATTGTCAATTATCCTCTACATCTTTCTCTTTACATGAATTGAAAGAAACTAGATGTTTTATTATTTTAATATCTTATTCCAAACCTAAAAATTTGGGAAAAAGTCAACAATTTAAATAGTTTAGTAGTATTTTTCTTTTAATGAAACTAAGAAGTTCTAAATTTGACTCGCATAGCATTGGGTGCAGTGGGTTATAGGATTGGAGAGGTTTGTCTACTATTATGCAACTCAAGATCAAAATGCAAAAAAAAAAAAAAAAAAAA